TCAAGAGTGATGTGAGTCCCGCACCGGACGGACCCATCACTGCTGTCATTGCGCCCAACTCTGAGCCCCCACTCAACCCATTCAACACTATTCTCTCGTTTCCCGCAAACAATGACCGATACTTTACCCCCAAATCAATCCAAGCGATCGCGTAGTCATTACAACTCATCTCACTTTTATATTTAAAATTAATTTTGCAATTAATTGTCTAAATTTCTATTTAACTTCACTCTATTTAACAACAATTGCTCTCTTTATTAGTTTAAATGATTTCTCAAACATACGATTTTTATAACTAATTTTTTAATACTTTATATTAAATTGAAGTTAGATATTACTTTACAACACTTACATGTATTAAAGTAATGTAAACCTTGTGTTCTATTACTTTTTCAATTAATAATTTTTATTAAATTAACCATATGAAATTATTTGTTTTTAAATTTTTAATAAAATAATTGTAATCAAATTATACTTAAAACCCCATATTTTATGGGAAAATAATTATGCAGTAATTACTATTAACTATAAATAATATATTAACATAATTATTTTATTATCTAAATTTTTAATTTAAATATTTTACAATATTTATTATAATTATTTGAAATAAATAATTAAAATATAAATTTATATAAAGTTTTGCAATAAAATTGTACAATTGTCATTTTTACAATTTTCATTTTGTTTTTATTTATATTTAAAGTGTATTCAAATTTTGTGAACAACAAATTTTACTATAATAATTTCGTACAATATAAATTTTTAGATTATCATAATCGCATGATGGTATTTTATAATAATATACTCGAAATGCTATAATTATAAATAAATATTATTTTAATTACAATTAATTATTTTGCAACTAAATTTTTATCATCATTATTATTGCTATCATTAACCACACCATCAAAGCCGCCCTCAAAGACAAATTCTGTGACCTCACGGCGGGGCACAAGTCGCGGCGCGTGGAGGCGTTGATCGGGTGGCGGGCGCTTACCAATAGCCATCATGCAGTCAATACTATATCGATCTTTTGCACACCAAACACCTCATAGGCTCGATCGTAATCAAAGCCAGCCATACAGTGTACGGCCTCAATCAGCTCCGGCGACAGAGGGACAGCTCTGGTCACACCCGACGAACATGTGATTGGCATTAACTTTATGTTTCACAAATATCGGCTCCATTACGCAATTCCCATACAACAAGCCATTGGTATGCCTCCCATTGCCCCCATTGCCGACCCCATAGCCCACCACTACTTCACTTATAAACTAATATATCTTATAATTTAGATCTTATGACAAGTTTTGCCAAAGAAAAGGCGCCGATTGTGGGGCTCATTGTCTCTGAGATGACTGACGAGGAACGCCTATTGGTTGCCACCAACTTTGCTGTAGACGTGGATCAGGTGCCCGACAAGTGTGTCTTCTCTCAAACCATGGAAAATGGCAAATGGTATGTATTGATTGATTTGCTGGCCATTAGTGTTGTATTGATGGGCGTATTGACTGATCATTTTGGTTTAATATAAGGAAATTATCCGAAGAATACAATGTCATCACTCATGTCAATGGAGTCGAGATCTCACGCGTGGAAGACTTGTACAAAGCGGTGGATCAGTTACGAAACAGAGGCACGAATTTGTATTCCACAATTAATTATTTCGATTTTATTACGATTGACAGAAATCAAATCAATATTAATGCCCACCCTGGTGCTCTTGTTCTTGTTTAAAACTCATTTTATGTAATTATTTATATTTAAAACAACTATTTATTTATTAGTTTTTGAATTTTATGATTGTTTTTTATTGCTTTAATTTGAAAGTTTTTATTGATATTTAAAAATTACATTTTGTTTTTTTGTTTTCAATTTCGCATTATTTGTTTTAATGTAAAATCAATTTTAAAGTTTGACACCATTTTTATATTTAATGTTTGATTAAAAGTTTTAATTCAAAATTACTTTCTTTTTATGTAATTACCTAATTGTTTGCATTTAATTTGTATGGACTGCGAGTGAACCCTAACTTTGAGCACAAAATACGAGACAATAGTATAGAAAACGCATTGAAATATCAATAGACGCCACGACTTATCCAAGTCTTCGTCCGTCAGTTGAAACTTGTATAATACGGACGATATATGAGTACCGGTGGGACACCGGCCCCGACCGTACAGATAGACCGTTAAATAGTTAAACGAGACTTTAATCGGCGATAAATTGGTTAAGTGTTGTAATGCGGGTCCGAATTCATACACTGGTATGAAGTATGTGTTAGTTATAGAAATCAAAACACATATGATTATGGCTGCAGAGGCCGTGTGTCGGGGAAAACATATGCTGACCAAATGACAGATCCTTTGTATGGCCACTGAAGCCAATGTAATGACCATAAAGATCGCGGCCGGCATTGCGTCCAATCGGTCGTAGATATCGATTATAAACGACAGACAAATATTGGTCACTAAAATAGGTATAATATTGACCAGTAATTTGACCATAAAATACGATTCAACGGAATACCAGCCTATTTGGTATATTATACAAATTTTAAATATTAATAAACATGCTTTAATTTCAAAATTTATATAAATGTAATAAAGTAACATTTTTAAACAAACACTTGTACATAAAAATATACTGTACTTACAGTTATGGCACTGTCGCATGAACAAGGCCAAATCGTTAGTTATTGTAGCGCAACCTAATAGTGTTTGTATTATAAACCACATTGTAATTGTAAAACATAGATAAGACATGTTATATGCAATCATTTTGTCGCTAAATAAACCATTTGTATGTTGTGGACACCCATCGGTCCCATTGGCACTGATATCTATACAACTGTCCGCCGAATCCAATGGATAATTAAATAAAATTTTGGCCAACAATTCCAATATTAAAGCAAAAGTGATTACAATCAATATTATGGGCCACTCGTGTCGTCGGAAGTTTGTGACGGCTCTCGACAATAGGTATAGGAATTCAGTGATAGAAAAGTGTTTGAAATGAATGACAATTCCGTCCGAAGAGATATCCAGTTCTGTCCGAATCCTTTCAATGTATTTCTCTATTATCTGATTTGTCTTTCGAGACATTTCCATCACTTTCTCATCACTGGATCCGTTGGCCGACAGTTTTATCAAAACTTCAATCGGTATTTGGCTTTCATTGCATTGAATATTGCATTGACTTAAATGTGAGCGCAAACCCCGGGGCGGACCCGAGTATACGGCGACCCCTTCTTTGGCCAATATATACAACATATCGAATAACATTAGAATTTCGAGGTTTGGCTGATGTATGGATGCAATCATCGATACATTGTGTTTACGGGACAACCGCTTGAAGCATTTTATCATCTTTTAGTGTAAAAGAAATTTAAAATCTAATATATTATTAAAAATAATTCACAAAAATATTTAATACCAAAAGCGCTGAATAGCTGTCGACACCAGAAGTCGGTTCGTCAACACATATAAGGTTTGGTTTGATTTGAGCCGTCATTTCCATCGCTATTACTATCCGTTTTTGTTGACCAGAACTGNACACATATAAGGTTTGGTTTGATTTGAGCCGTCATTTCCATCGCTATTACTATCCGTTTTTGTTGACCAGAACTGCATTTCTCCACATTTATGGCCGAAATATCATTTAAACACAACTCAGACATCAATTTGTCGGCAATAGACTCGTGATTGACATTACTATTGGTGTCACTATTTTTGAGTTTTGAGGCATAGATAATGGTCTGTCTTGTAGTGATTCCGGCCATAATGTGTTCCCTTTGGTCCTGAGATATAAAACAGGCCCTGATTTTTATTTCTCCATTTAAATAGATCTCCGATTGTTTAGTAATCAATGTCTTATTCATGCCATTCAATGCTCGTAATAGTGATGTCTTTCCCGCACCGGACGGACCCATGAGTGCCGTCAAAGACCCGAACTCTACGAACCCTTTAATTGTCCGTAAAATTACTTTTTCCGATGAATACAATGTTTTGTCCACTTTTAGTGTTAAGTCAATCCATGCGATACTCAATGCTTTAGAGGCTATTATAACATCCGATTGTGGACTCAATTCTTGTAAATCAGATTCAATTTCAATCATTTCATTGTTTTCATCATTATTTTCATTAATAGTTATCATTTCTAAAATGTTTTGACTATTTATATCTCTATTATTTCCATTACACAACAATAAAGAGCATATTCTTTGCTTCAAAATGTTAACAACATTTAGAAATATATTTGGATTTTTAGTAATACACAAAACGATGAATGTCAGTAATTTATAGAAAATAAATTGAATCAATAGATAAGTCATATTTTTAGATACGATGTCATTATCATTATAATCAATATTGTGTTGCAACAACACCTTGGACACTTGACCATCGGTGCAACGATTGAGGCCATAAATGCTAATAAGTAGGCCAGGAGTGAAAAAACGTGCTGGTACGAAAATTCCTAATGCCTTCATTATATCACCAAGATCAATTAAATAAATTGCAAAATCATTAAATATTTGATTCAAATTAATTATCATAAATCCAATTACAAAACACAACTGAGTGTTTGATATGAGGAATAGACATAAATATCCGATTGAATCGCTTATATGTATTGAAATCACGTAAAAGTAAACGAAAGGCCAAAACCTTTTCGATTCGATCAATTGTGAACTCATAATAAATACAATTACGGCTATTATTAAGCCATTGATTGTAACTGGAATTATATTCAGTATGTTTTGTGTCATAAAATATACACCACTGCTATACCAGTCTATATATTTGAGATTAATTCATTAACAAAATTAGATGTTGAAATAAGTTATAATATAAAACTTTAATGACTTAACTATTTCTGTGTTCGGTATTAAATCTGGTGAAAGAACCCAATGATAAAGCAATCGTACAAATGGTTTGTATAAATGATAGCAACCATAATGTGAATACAATTAACACAAAATTCTCATGAACATTATTATCTGAGTCGAGCTGATCCAGACATGTGGTATGATTTTTTGCTTCATCTGTAGCGCCGATTATAACACAATCGCTATATTGTCCGACATTTTTGACAAAACAATTACAACCAATAAAAGCGGTAAATATCATGATTAGTGAACTGATTGCCAGTCCTTTCCATTTGTATCGAAATATTTCAGTCAAAGATCTTTGGGTTAAAATCCAGACATCTTTGAGAGAAAATAATTTGTTGTTATGTTTAATACGTTTTGGTTTCGTTTTGTCGACAATAATATCTCTAAATTCATGATTGAATTGACGGGTCGTTTGATCTCTCAATTGACGCACATTTTGATCGCTCAGACCTTTGGATGCGATTGTAATCAATGTTTCGATCGGCACTTGATTTTCGTTCACTTCTATACCACATGTGTGTAAGTGTGGGCTGAGGGCAGAGGGAGGGCCCCAATACACACACTCACCCCCTTTGGCCAACACATAGAGTTTGTCACACATTTGCAGTATATCTGTGTTGGGCTGATGTATGGACGCAATGATTGAGATGTTGTGCTTTTGGCAC